TTGGTTTCTTCAGTGCAATACCTAGAGATATGCTTTTCAAGTCTGTTCTTTTATTCTGTTGTCACCATCTCTGTGAAACTAGGGAATTTTGGAGAAAGCTGAAATTCACCTAGAAAGTTATGAATCTTGTAAAATTCATTTATTCAGGGGCCCATACAAAGCATTAAAATTTAAGAGACTGGTATAAAAATGAGTGTAATTGCACCTGGTTTGAGATTCCTTTCCATTCTGTGGCTCTGTTTTAATTTCACTGCCACTTAACTTTGCCGTGTTTAACTGGAGTGCTGAATACTGCTCACTGCAGCACGTGGGTTTACCATAGAGCGCCTCCCTTTGTAAATACCATACAGCCTCAACGGCATCCTCCTATGTTATACAGGGAGCAAAGTGTCATTTAGAGAAGGAAGGGTAATGCAGGTTCTCACGGTCCTCACGGTGGTTTGGGGGCCATAGTTTGCAGTGGACAAATGGAATTCATAGCAACCCTGCAAGTACTCCCATCTCGTCACCTTGCTTTAGTGCCTGTGTCATCAGTAACCCAACAGAGCATATTGTGTAAAAGCATTTCCTACTTTCTCAGATCCCCAAGCCATCTGGCAAGTCTCTGTCTATTGCTTTTACAAATGGCAAGCTGGCTCATGAGTAAATTGCTATGGGGGAAAGAAACCAACAACACTGAATACTCCTAGATCATTTGCTATTAAATGAGATAATACGTGTGAGCCTGGTGTAGCGCGGGGAGTGGAATTCACAGTGGCATGGATGGTGGGGCATCTTTGAATCTTCATAATGTCAAGCACAAGGGTGAACTGTTCCTCACTGAACTGTGCAGACCTTCCCTCTAACAATATGTGTTCAAAGTTCTGTGACAATTTTGATTTGTAGCAAGGTGATAGGTTTAAAACCTCAGCTCTACTGACTTTTAATTTATAAGGAGTGCAGGTGCTATTTCTCCCCAGCCATGTCTTCCTGACACTAGAAAAAGTCACATATGAAATCGGAGGGTTTCCCTAATATCAAGACATGAAACCGATTTATTTCTTTACCATATACTTCCTTAAAGGGAGCCTGGATTCCTTCAGGTACCTAACCTGATTGCAGTGAGGTGAGGTCTTTTGCCGTTTTCCAGGGAAAGGCACTGTATGTGGTGCAAATGGGGTGCTTAAAAAAGGTGAACCTGGGACTTCCCTGGTGGTGCAGTGGTTAAGAATATGACTGCCAGTGCAGGGGACATGGGTTTGAACCCTGGTCTGGGAAGATCCCACATGCCGTGGAGCAACTAAGCCCATGTGCCACAACTACTGAGCCTGCGCTCTAGAGCCCACAAGCCACAACTACTGAGCCCGCGCACCACAACTACTGAAGCCCATGTGCCTGGAGCCCATGCTCTGCAACAAGAGAAGCCACAGCAGTGAGAAGCCCGCACACTGCAACGAAGAGCAGCCTCCACTCGTCGCAAGTAGAGAAAGCCTGCGCATGATAACAAAGACCCAATGCAGCCAAAAATAAATGAATAAAACAAAAAAAATAATAAAAAAAAAGGTGAACCTGGTGGAGCATTTCCCATCAACCTGACTCAGGCAAGCTGCAGGTCTTCTCCTGGTGACAAATGAAGGTAACCGCAACACCCAATGGGGATTGTCACTAAGCATCCCTGACTTAGTGCATTATTAACTAGTGGAGATGCTGAACAGAAACCTTCATAGAGGAAACCTTCATGGCAAATTATATAGGACACATGTTCTGGAGTCAGAGAAAACTAGGTTTGAATTTGGGGTTTCTCAGATTATTAGTGTGGTGGTCCTTGAGCAATTCTGTCAGCCCGTCTCAGCCTCCCTTCACTTTGATCTAAATGGCAGATGGTATTACCTGTATCATGCGGTCATAGTAAGATGAAATGATAACTCACGTGTAGTAGACGGTATTTGGTGCCCTGTGAAGCTCTACTTTATGGGGTGGGCAGGTTCCCATCCTTCAGCTCTTGTGACATTTGGGTGCTAACAATTCATAACTACTGTGCATCCCTTTGCACTCTGCTGTTGGGAACTGTCTTGTCTGGAAATTTCTGGGATGCTGTTCTCTCTTCCTAGGTTTGGAGAAGGTTTTCAGTAGCCTGCAGTTAATGACTAACTGATTTGGGAGTTCAAAATGCCTCCTGCTTTAAGGTAGGAGAACTCTAGGATGTCATTTATACTTCAAAGCACCCTATGGAGTCAGAGAGAGACGGTACCTCCACCAAACTCACATCTTTGCCTGACTCTCCCCCTGCCTATCCTGAGAGCACTCAATCAATTATTTCCTTAATAATATTTATCTCAGACTCCCTTCTAGGGAAACTGACTGAGATGGCTTGTGAATATCTGTCATAAAGCAGGTGCTTGAAGAGGGTTAGTTTCTCTCACCTTTTATCCCTTTTTCCCAGCAACTGTTTCTGAGTACTAGATTTGTTTTGCCTGGGGGAAATTACTGTAAAATAATAGAAAGTTAAAAAAATTCTTAAGTAAATAAAAGATACTAAAAAAATGAAAAGTCAGGCAACACATTCTATCAAGTTATTTACTATACAAATAATAAAAGATTTATATCCAATACAAAAAACTACAAGAAAAAGAACAAACAAAAAAAAAACAGTGGAGAATTTGGTCCACTGATTTGCAGAAGACGAAACTACAGTGGACAATACATACGTGAAAAAAATTTAGGGCTTCCCTGTGGCGCAGTGGTTGAGAGTCCACCTGCTGATGCAGGGGACACGGGTTCGTGCCCCCGTCCGGGAAGATCCCACACGCTGCGGAGCGGCTGGGCCCGTGAGCCATGGCCGCTGAGCCTGCGCATCCGGAGCCTGTGCTCCGCAACGGGAGAGGCCACAACAGTGAGTGGCCCGCGTACCGCAAAAAAAAAAAAAAAAAAAAAAAATTTAATCTCAGTAGGGAAAGGTGAGATTTTGAATCCATTCCATAGGCAAGATTAAAATGTCTGATAATATTAGTGTTGGCAAAAATGTGAAGCAAACGTAGACTTATCTTCCCTGGTGGGAGTGTTCATTAGCATCACTGTTTTGGATTGAAATTTCTCAATATCTAGTAAGTTTGAGGATATGCATATTTTATAATTCATCAGTGATACTTACAGGAATTTACCAGGCATAACTGTCACACATATATAAGAATGTTCCTGGCCAACATTATTTGTTAAAGCAAAAGCAAACAAACTAACAAAACTTGAAAACAACCTTAATATTCATTATCAGGAATAATGAATGAATTCATTATCAGGAATGAATAAAGCATTTTTAGCATATTTATAAAATGAATGCCAGAAAGCTCTAAAAATGGATGAACTAGAATGATAGATATTCGTATGAAAAATCTGGGAAACATAATGTTGGGCAAAGAGCACGAGTTGCAGTAGGTTATGATCAGGATGATGCCAGTAATTATTATTATTGTTATTATTTATTTATTTATTTATTTATTTATTTAGCGGTACACGGGCCTCTCACTGTTGTGGCCTCTCCCGTTACAGAGCGCAGGCTCAGCGGCCATGGCTCACGGGCCCAGCCGCTCTGCGGCATGTGGGGTCTTCCCGGACCGGGGCACAAACCCGTGTCCCCTGCATCGGCAGGCGGACTCTCAACCACTGCGCCACCAGGGAAGCCCCAGTAATTATTTTTTTAACTTGAAAAATTTGTATACTATTTTTCTGAATACTTAAAACTGTTGTAAAATTATACAAACATAGACTTGAGATAGATGTGAACCTTACGAGATATTAACCTGGAAAAAGAAGGATCATCAGACCAATGTTGGGAGAGACACGGGTTTCAACTATATTTGTAGTGCTTTAGTTCTTTACATTACATTTCTGAAGCAAAAATAGGAAAATGTTAAAATACTGTATCTGGGCTGCAAGAATATAAGTGGTTGTTATTTTTCTTTAAGCTTTTTCTCTATGTTTGAAATATTAAAAAAAAAATAGAATGCCATTTCCTAGGTCTGTTTGAGAATTGTAGACTTATAATAATGTGATGATATTTTAATATGCTTTCTCACACCATACACTTGATTTCAAGCTTGGCTGTGCTAAGTCCTCCAGCTATTCATGGTCCCTTCAAGTCTTATAAGACCTAGCTTAAGTCCTGCCTCTTCCAGGCAACTTTCTGGGTGACCACAGACAGCTTTGGACAGACCCCTTTATGAATTTGACCAATGACATGACTGTGATAAATTTTATATTTGCTTGTATGTTGTTGTTTTCAGTGCATCAAATGTTTAAATATTGTCTGACATACTTTTAATTCAGAGAAGTCTAGACCTTCTCCTAGGTTCCTCATGAAATTATCTCATAAATACCTGCCTATATTTATCATAAATTATGTCTAGAACACATTTAACCAAAGAAATTGATTTTCAGTAATTATAATTAGTTAATTCATCATTTTGGACTGTTTATGTACTAGTAGTTGTGAATCCAAAGAAAAAGATGTAAGGGTCTTCTCAGAGATCTCACAGCTGAATTAAATTGTAGCATAGATATCTGTTTCTTTCTATATTCATTCAGCTATGCAACCAACAAATAATTATTAAACATAACTCTGGACCAGTTACTGTATTTGAAAATAGCGATAGAATAAAAAACAAGGCAGGAATATTTTTCTTGTATGTATGATTGAGCCTGTCTTGAACTAAAAGTAGAGTTTCAGTTCTGACAAAATACTTCTAGGCTGTGTCTGGTACAAAAGGCCATTTGGAGATTTAGCTTGTAAACTGAATGTAATTTTCAGAAGATGTGAATGATGCAAAGGATTGCCATGCGTCATGAGACTGCCCTAGAAAATCCGGGAACTATGGTTGTAGTAATCATATATATTAGCTGGATCTGATTTCCTCTCCTGTTTACTTACTGTCGAGCATTTGTTTTCAGTGAATCGATTATTTAGTAACACCAGTGAACAATCATTTTTGATAACCTTTCATCAAACACACATTTTTCTTTTAAAGTATGACCCTTGAAACGACTGCATGAATGAAGTCTTGCCTTTTTTTTAATGGCCTCCCGACATCTACAGCTGATCCTTACAAGAAGCATGAGGACAGCCTGGTAAGTTTTACTATCCCTATATTATCAAGGAGGGAAGTGAGTGTCCGAAAGTATGAATGACTTGGACAAGGCCACGCATAGGAGGTGAGATGAGAACCAGAAACTTCTGACTCTTAGACAAAAACATCTTTGCATTCTGTGATACTGATCTCTACATATCAGAAATCCCCAAGATGGGAAGTTTACAGCAGGATTTCTCAACCTCAGTACTTACATTCTGGGAATGATTCTTTGTTGCAGAGGAGGGGGCTGTCTTGTACATTGTGGGATGTTTAGCAGCAGCCCTGCCCTTTACCCACTAGATGCCATTAGTACACCCCTGCCCCCCACAAGTCATGACAATCAAAAATGTCTCCAGATGTGACCAAATGTCCCCTTGAGGGTAAAATCACCTCCTGGTTGAGAACCACTGCCTTAGAGCCTTAGAACATTTCTCAATAGCATGCTAGAGTACTTTTTTTTAAATGCCCATGCAAAGATAGAGCTAAGTGCTGGCCATCCTGTGCATGGAGAAAGATTGCAGATCTCAGCCCCATTGAAGTGGATTAAGATAATGTAATGGGTTCTGACCAAAGGCGTTTGAGTAGAAGTGATGTCTACCGCTTCCAGCCTGGTCACTAACCTCTGAGGGGATCCTCTTTTGCCCTCTTTCCATTTTGCAGCAAACCTGGAGGCATGTTTTAAAGATCAAAGAGCCAAGAGACGAGAGAATCTTGGGCTCCTGGGTGACTGGGGGTTGCAGAGCACTGGCCCCTGATTATCACTGAATGAGACAGACTTGAATGAGAAATAAACCTTCACTGTGTTAAAGCAACCAAAATTTGGAGGGTGTTTATCATAGAAGTTAGAACACCCCGAGTACTAGAATGACATTTATTTATATTTTAACGTCTCAATTTAAATTTTCATCAAAGTAATGCATATACATAATAAAGGACAAATAATAATAAAGCTCTTTAGCAACAATCTCCTGTTCCACAAATGCTTCCTGGTAGTTGAGGACTGAACCCTTTGACTCCTTTCCACCATCTCTCTTTTCCCACATCCTGCTTGCATGTGTTTTCTCTGATTATCACTATGCAAATATTGTTCCCTGCTAAGCCAGGTAGTATAACCTTACCTCTGTCTTTATATGACCTTCTTTGTTTCCCTGGTCAATAACTCTCTCTGGTTCTATAAAATTTCTCCACATCGCCTTGGTTTTCCTATCATCTTACTATGATATATATATATATATATATATATATTTTTTTTTTTTTTTTTTGGATATATGTGTGTATGTATGTGTGAGTATATATTTACTTTTTCCTGAAGGCCAGAATATCTCTGCTACAGGCCTACTAATAAGCTCAAAAAATCCGTTTAAAAAAAAAATTTTTTAAGACCTCTTTCCCAAAACCTTCTGTTTTTGCAGTAGAATTTGAGGTATTTCTTTTTAGGGTAGTTACACAGCTACCTTCCTTATATTTCTTTTCATTTTCCTACATGGGACCTCCTGTTTCATGGATCCCACATCTTTCTTTCCCTGTAGTCATGTAAACTTCAATTAGAGTGTATTCTCAAGTAGCTTTTTCTAGAAATAGATGTACGAAGAGTATTTTGCATACGTGAGATATCTTGCATATCTTTACTTTTCTCCCATTGAGGGATTTATTCAATCCCTCTATTGAGTTTGAATGTCTCCATTATAGATTTTTTTAAAACTTAGAATTTTGATTATTTCTCTGCCATCTTCTATTTTATAGTATAGCTATTGAGAAATTCAGTGCCATTCTAACTCTTGATGTTCTTATCTGACCTGCCTTTTTTTCTCTGGATTTTCATATTCTTCAGTTTTGGGAATTTTCTTGCATTTTAAAGAATTTCCTATGTACCATTTTTTTTTCTTTTTTCTTTTCAGAACTCATTTTCATGGAGTGTTGACCTTTGTCACCTCTATTTAAAAAAATTTTTTTTCCCATTCTTTGTCTTTTTGTTCTACAGTCATGTAAATTCATTTGAATTTTATTTTACAACTCTTCTACTCAATTATTTATTTTGATGATGATGTTGTTAACTTCTAAGACTACTTCATGTTTCTGTGAGTGTTCTGTTTCCGAGGCGGGTTGTTCTTGTTTCAAGGAGCCAGTATATTCTACACTGTTTTCTCCAGATGTTCCACTAAAATCTCACAAGTCAGTATTTAGACTTTCATTTAACACTCTGTTTAAATCATCAGATCAACCTGGCTGTGTCTGATGGTCTTGAATCCAGAGTGATCCTTCTTGGGTTCAGTTCTAAACCTCTGGCATAGAGAGGGGTCCTGTAGACCAGGACCGGCCTCTATTCTGTCTTTCCACCAGCACTGCTGTCTTTAGACCTGCACCCAACTCCTCAGGCCTTCCATCATTCTTGGTGCTTCTAAATGCTGACACTCAGGGATTCTGCAGGCCAGTTTGGCTCACTTCTTGGTAGTATTTTCATCTATAGACAGTTAGGTTGGAACTTTCTCAAATCTGCTGAGTCAGATACCAACTTTCTATCTGTTTTTACTTTTCCAGAATGTAACTGAAATCACTGATACGCTGATGTTTCCTCTCTTGATCAATTTGTCTTGTATTTCTTGCCATGCCTTTGCTTTCATTCTGGCTGGATTTTGTGTAGAATAAGTGATAAATGTCTGTGGTCTACTCACCATTTTTCACCTGAAGCCTCCCTCAGGAAAGTAACTTCTTTGGTTTACTTTGTAAAGTAAAGGAGATCATAAAAAACAATTTTTGATGGTTAGGATATGCTTTAGATTCTTCAAGTCCTCATGAATTGCTGAATTTTCCCTCTTAATCAACCTTTAGGAGACAACCGGCTTGTCCGAATCATCTTGAGTCAACAAGATATTCACACTGTGGACTCGGAAGCGAGGCCAGCTTCGTGGGCATGTGACCAGTGTGGTCACATAGGGCCTGTTCTCAGATGGGTCCCATGTTTGTTTTAATGCTCTGCTGTCCCTGTCTTGAAAATCCTAATATATATATGTATATATATATTTTGCGGTACGCGGGCCTCTCACTGTTGTGGCCTCTCCCGTTGCGGAGCACAGGCTCTGGACGCGCAGGCTCAGCGGCCATGGCTCACGGGCCCAGCCGCTCCGCAGCATGTGAGATCTTCCCGGACCGGGGCATGAACCCGTGTCCCCTGCATCGGCAGGCGGACTCTCCACGACTGTGCCACCAGGGAAGCCCGAAAATCCTAATATTTTAAGGGGACCCACATTTTTATTTTGCACTGGGCCCTGCAAATTATGAAACTGGTCCTTCTCTGAAGTGTAAATACCGTGATGGCTAAATATAATTTGTAAGTTTGCATGGTCTTGGGGCTGTCAGCTCAACCTTTCCTTTTATAAATTCTCTACCAGTCTAGCCATGCAGCTGCTTTTGGCTTCTTACCAAGATGGGTCGCTCACTGGCTTCTTAACAATTTCCTTTCCCTCTGAACCTCTCTAACAGAACGTTCTTTCTTACTCTGAAATGAAATGCATATCCTTCATCTTATCTGGGCTCATTCCTTGTTTTATATGAATAATTTGGTCATTTATATATGTTACAAAACAAATACATATTTATGTTATTATAAAAGAAATACGCATCTGGAAAATACTGGAAAATGATGAAGAGCATAAAAGATAATAACCAGTAATCCCTCTATTGGGAAATAACCATTTAATAACCTGTTACCATGGATATTTCTTTTCTATCTTTTTCTTTGCATATATAGTAATAACAACAATGATAAAGATGATAGCTGGTTTATTTAGTGCTCATAATGTTCTGGGAACTGTGCTAAGTGATTTTTTTTAAAAAAATAAATTTATTTACTTATTTGTTTTTATTTTTGGCTGTGTTGGGTCTTCGTTGCTTTGTGTGGGCTTTCTCTAGTTGTGGCGAGTGGGGGCTACTCTTCGTTGTGGTGCGCGGGCTTCTCATTGCAGTGGCTTCTCTTGTTGCAGAGCACGGGCTCTAGGCGTGCGGACTTCAGTAGTTGTGGCAGGCAGGCTCAGTAGCTGTGGCTCACGGGCTTTAGAGCACAGGCTCAGTAGTTGTGGCACACGGGTTTAGTTGCTCCGTGACATGTGGGATCCTCCCGGGCCAGGGATCGAACCCATGTCCCCTGCATTGGCACGTGGATTCTTAACCACTGCACCACCAGGGAAGCCCCTGTGCTAAGTGTTTTCAATGAATTATTGCACTCAGGAGATAGACAGATATAATTAGAGAGATATGGATATATACCACATGCATAAGTGTTAAGATTGTAATGTATATCCAGTTTTTTTCTTTGTGTCACTTAATATTATATCATGAGCACTTGTAAAAATGAGAGGATTTAAAACAAAATGTAGTTACCACATGGACAGATAATGAAGAAGGGTCACTTCATTCCTTCTGCAGAGAGTGTCAAGATGTGTGACCTTGGGTAGGTCATTTTTCCTCTTAAGTCTTCAGTTTCTGCATTTGTAAAATGTATATAATATAATATCTACCCTGCCTACTTTACAGGATTATAGGGTCAACGATAACATCAGCAATAATAAATTGCTGTCCCTGAAACTCTGCTGTGTTTCTGACTCACACACTTTTTGTCATGATTATGATTTTACCAATCCCATAAAGTGGGTGAAGCCTTGTTTTCCAGAAGGGGGACTAGAACCTTAAAGATGTTATATGGCTTTTCCAAGGTTACATGCATGGTCAGCTGGGTGATAATCACGGAGCCCACGTCCTTCCGCTGCACTGTGCTGTACCAAGCCTGTGGGATTCCGAACATGAGAGAGCTGCCCCCCCTTCACAGGGCCATAATGTCTTAGCAGCAAACGTTTGCTCCTGTCATTTTCCAGGATTAACTTTCCACAATTTTAGTTCTTCAGAAGACCCCTTCTTGTTCATGTTGTTTGGTTCTGTAGTATATGTCACCCATTGCAAGAACTCTGGAGCTCCATTGAAGCAGCATCCAGAGAGAGATGAACTCATTAAAATGGACCTGCAACCATTTAGGATTTCCAGCTTTTAAAAGGCTGAGGAAGGGAAAGAATACATTTTAACATTTGCCTGAGCTTCACTTATTTAATCTGTGCCACAACCTCAATTTCCTTGATATGTCTCGCAAAATCCATGACAAAATATGACTTGAGCAACTAATTTTGTGAGGCCATAATGGATGCAGAAAAGTTCATTCCTCAATTTTCCCTTCTGCTTTTGCCTTCAGAAAGTGTAGAGATCCATTTTCTCTTGAAAAACCGAAACTTCATTCAATCCTTTTACTTTGTCAACTCACTATTATGGCTTTGCTGTCTGAAGTTTTCCTGTGAGAGTGTTGCACTTTCTCACTCCCTAGGCTGGACCTAGCCTTACTTTGGGGCCAATGAAATGTGAGAAGACCAGCCCTGAGCAGAATCTTTAAAAACCAATGTAAGTTTTTCACAGAACTAGAACAAAAAATTTCACAATTTGTATGGAAACACAAAAGACCCTGAATAGCCAAAGCAATCTTGAGAAAGAAAAACGGAGCTGGAGGAATCAGGCTCCCTGACTTCAGACTATACTACAAAGCTACAGTAATCAAGACAGTATGGTACTGGCACAAAAACAGAAATATAGATCAATGGAACAGGATAGAAAGCCCAGTGATAAACCCACGCACATATGGTCACCTTATTTTTGATAAAGGAGGCAAGAATAAACAACGGAGAAAAGACAACCTCTTCAATAAGGGGTGCTGGGAAAACTGGAAAGCTACATGTAAAAGAATGAAATTAGAATACTCCCTAACACCATACACAAAAATAAACTCAAAATGGATTAAAGACCTAAATGTAAGGCCAGACACTATAAAATGCTTAGAGGAAAACATAAGCAGAACACTCTATGACATAAATCACAGCAAGATCCTTTTTGATCCACCTCCTAGAGAAATGGAAATAAAAACAAAAATTAAAAAATGGGACCTAATGAAACTTAAAAGCTTTTGCACAGCAAAGGAAACCATAAGCAAGACGAAAAGACAACCCTCAGAATGGGAGAAAATATTTGCAAATGAAGCAACTGACAAAGGATTAATCTCCAAAATTTACAAACAGCTCATGCAGCTCAATATCAAAAAAACAAACAACCCAATCCCAAAATGGGCAGAAGACCTAAACAGACATTTCTCCAAAGAAGATACACAGATTGCCAACAAACACATGAAAGGATGTTCAACATCACTAATCATTAGAGAAATGCAAATCAAAACTACAATGAGGTATCACTTCACACCAGTCAGAATGTCCGTCATCAAAAAGTCTACAAACAATAAATGCTGGAGAGGGTGTGGAGAAAAGGGAACCCTCTTGCACTGTTGGTGGGAATGTAAATTGATACAGACACTATGGAGAACAGTATGGAGGTTCCTTAAAAAACTAAAAATGGAACTACCATCTGACCCCACAATCCCACTACTGGGCATATACCCTGAGAAAACCATAATTCAAAAAGAGTCATGTACCACAATGTTCATTGCAGCTCTGTTTATGATAGCCAGGACATGGAAGCAACCTAAGTGTCCAGTGACAGATGAATGGGTAAAGAAGATGTGGCACATATATACAATGGAATATTACTCAGCCATAAAAAGAAACGAAATTGAGTTATTTGTAGAGAGGTGGATGGACCTAGAGTCTGTCATACAGAGTGAAGTAAGTCAGAAAGAGGAAAACAAATACTGTATGCTAACACATATATGTGGAATCTAAAACAACCTAGGTGCAGGACAGGAATAAAGACACAGACGTAGAGAATGGACTTGAGGACATGGGGAGGGGGAAGGGTAAGCTGTGACAAAGTGAGAGAGTGGCATGGACATGTATACACTACCAAATGTAAAATTGATAGGTAGTGGGAAGCAGCCGCATAGCACAGGGAGATCAGCTCGGTGCTTTGTGACCACCTAGAGGTTTGGGAGGGAGACGCAAGAGGGAGGAGATATAGCTGATTCACTTTGTTATAAAGCAGAAACTAACACACCATTGTAAAGCAATTATACTCTAATAAAGATGTTAAAAAAGAAATTAAAAAATTAAAATAAATAAATAAAATCAAGGGGAAACAGATGCCAAGATGACCCAGATGTTGAAATCAGCAAATAAGGACTTTATAACAGTTATTAGAAATGTGTTTAAGGACTTAAAATTTAAAACAATGATAAAGATTAGAATCTTAGGAGAGATATAGACACTAACACAAAAAACAAATACAAATCCTAGAATTGAAAATTACAGCATATAAATTAAAAAATTTTCTGTATCCTTAACATCATATTGAATGGTGTAAAAGAAAAAATAAAAGCAGTGAATTTGAACGCTGGTAAATAGAAATGATCAATCTCAAGAACAGAAAGACAAAGAATTGGGAGGAAAAAACAAGAAACAGAACTTCTGTGACCTGTGAGATAATATCAACGAAACTATCATATTTGTAAGAAGAGTCCCAAAAGGAGAGGAGAGAGGGAAGGAGCAATATACATTTTCTAAAGAAATGACAAGTGAAAATTTCTCACATTAGGTAAAAAATCTACAAAATCAGTAAGTGTAACAACACCAGCAAGATGAATACACACACACCCACGCTCATTCTTAGGCATATCAAAGTAAAATATATGAAAAGCAAAAATAAAGATAAAAATATTAAAAGCACTGAGAGAAGAATAAAAATGACAAATTACATGCAAAGGAACAAAAGAGACAGGCTGCCTTCCTTTCAGAAACAGTGGATTCCAGAAGACAAAGGAACAACAATCCAGATTACAGTATTTTGAGAAATACTCATCAAAAATATTGGTGAAATAAAGACATTTTCAAATATTTAAAAGTTGAGATATTTTGCACTCCATTTTTATTAGATTTTATGTATAACTGACATACAGCAAAATGCACATATTTCAACAGGTAAAAAAAAGAAAAAGAACCAATGCAAGTCTCTGCCATATTCCATTTTCTCTGCCCCTAGACCATCAGGTCTCTGG